ACGTTACTTGCAATTCCTGCAATGTGTCTACACTCTCCCTTTCTCCTCTCTGGGTTCCCCATTTCCATTAGTCCAGTTTCCCTGTGCTTCACTGTCTTCTCATCTTCAGTTTTGGGCAAATATTGGCCTTTTTTCTTGAACAGTTGATTGTTTTAAGTAGCACATTCTTCACAGATGTTATTATTTTATAGCCCCGTCTATTATTTGGCTGAAAGGTGACTGCCGTGAATGTCTTCAGTTTCAAGTTAGAAGGTTGTCTTAGAGCAATAGTCTCGGGAGTTCCTCCAGTCTCTTACAAATCAGTAAGTCTGTTTTTTTTTTTTTTAATTTGAATTTTGCTCTATGTTCTTTACCAATTCTAGCTGGGACCTTCTATTGTGATAGAAGCCTGGCACCACCTAGTTCTTTTGGTTTCAGGTTAGAGGAGACTATGGTTCATGTAGGCCATTAGTCTTTTGGACTAATTACTTCCCTGAGTCTTCGGTTTTCTTCTTTCTCCTTTGCTCCAGGTGAGAAGAGACCAATAGTCGCTTCTTAGATAGCTGCTTGCAAGTTTTCAAGACCCCAGGCACTACTCACCAGGCTAGGATGTAGAATATTCTCTTTATGAACTGTGTTTTGCCAATTGACCTAGATGTCCCTTGAGTCTATGGTCCTTAGCCTTCAAGTTCAGTAGCTCAGTCCCTATGTCTAAGTAGTTTCTATAACTGTACCCCTTATGTGCTCTTTATATATATACAAGTATACATGCAGCATTTACAAATATGTATGTAGAAATATCCACAGCCATACCTATATGTGTATGTGGGCATACTCCCATATGACCTCCCTCACCTATTCAGCATACATATTAGCCTATGTAACTACTCACAGATTTTGTTTGTTCTCACTGTTGTTGCTGGATTGTGTACGTTATAGCATTTACTGTAGTTGTCCTTTATTCTTGCGTTCCTTTCCGTGTCCTCGCTTGCCTTGGTCAGGTTGTGCTGACTTCACCCATGTTGTATATTGCCTTTTCCTTCACCAGAATTAACACTTGTCTGCTATCTAGTTAGTGATTCCCCCTCCCTGAACGCGAACCGAAATAGAAAACGTGTACTTTTTTTTTACTCCACTATTTTCAGTTCAACAATAATTTTTAAGTTGTAAGCAAGACCATTGAATCATTTACGTTTGATTTGCACCTGGTGCCCGTGTATGCCGAATGCGTTTCTGACACATGGCTGGTAAGGGCACAGTTCATTGCTTCGGCAGGCGATGTGCAGCTGCAGCTGTAGGTGATGACTTCTGTTATGCGAGGATGATTCACAGGCCAGTTCAGAGTTGGCTGTTTCCGCTCTGTGCTTGAGCTCTCTCACAGTAACGCAAGCTGTGCCTACTGAAGGTGTGAGAAACGCTCGACGATTGAGAACACCCGTAGTCAGAAATCTCAAAGAGCTCTTAAACTGCATCGAGTTCCGAGCAGAGTTTCACGTGAATGGAAATTGGTCAGGTGAGTGCAACGTTTTAAACGTACCTTAATCACATTTATAAAGTGTGATATTTAAATTTAAGAAAGAGAAAATAGCTTATAATTTTTGATGTTTCCATTCTTGTATCCAATCTCAACGTAAATGTACTATCACACTTTTTTGTACTTACATGTTTAAATTTGATATTTATCTCACAAATCAAAATGTTAACCAACATCAGCAGCTAGTGGGAAGAAAATTAATATTTCAATTGTGATGTACCATTATTTCACAGAAAACAACCTGATGGCACCACTGTGAAGTGAGATTTTTCGTCAAAATGTGCTGGATAAATGTACGAGAATGTTGTAAAGCGGGACTTCAAATGGAAGAAATCGGCAAACCCCACGAATGTAAAATTGAAGTTATTCCGTTTTTTTCTGATATACTGACGATACATGGCTAGAAGCATTTTAATACGTACTGGCTGTAATTCATTTCTACAAACGTATTCATGCATTCTAGTCTCTTTATGTTACCAAAGTTAAGACTTATTTTTACTGTAATGTAATATATTATTATTGTTACATGCCGTGCAGTTGATTCCAACTCACAGCAACCCTACGTACAACAGAACCAAACGATGCCTGGTCCTGCACCACCCTCACAGTCGTTGCTATGTTTGAGCCCACTGTTGCAGCCGCTGTGTCAATTCATCTCGTTGACGGTCTTCCTCTTTTTTGCTGACCCTCCACTTTACCAAGCATGATGTCCTTCTCCAGGGCCTGGTCCCTCCTGATAACATGTCCAAAGTATGTGAGACGAAGTCTCGCCATCCTTGCTTCTAAGGAGCATTCTGGTTGTACTTCTTCCAAGATAGATTCATTCTTCCGGCAGTCCATGATCTATTCTTCACTAACACCATAAATTCAAAGGCATCAATTCTTCTTCGGTCTTCTCGGTCTGCCTTATTCATCATCATTTCATCATAGCGACCTTATAGGACAGAGTAGAACTGTCCTATAGGGTTTCTAAGGCTGTAAATTTTTACGGAAGCAGATTGCAGGAATTGACTTGCTGGCAAGGGTTTTTTTTTTTTTTTAAATAATACATTTGGAAACACATTGAAAAAAATTTAATGTCAGGGAAGAAGTTATCATTGAAAATGATAACGTATTAGGAGCAGTTTATGTAGATCCTCGTTATCAAATTCTAATTAGTTCTGAACTTAAGGTGAAGGCCATATTAGATTTAAAAAGCATTTGGGAAGTGACAGAAAATCTGGAAAGGAGTGTCCTAGGCAATACTGAAAGGGGAACAAAGGCAGGCAGTTCAGAAAATACTCTCATTTCAAATGATGACGTTGATGTGACGGAGTTATTTCTCAAAATGAAAGAAAAAAAAACTGAGATCAAATGAATGTGCTGTTAATATTGACTCTATATTTACAAACTTTGACGGTGTTCAAAGAGTTGAGAGAAAAAATGTCTTCTTGTATTTTGGGAATAAAAAACAACAAACAGTAACCCCACTAGTATGAAATTGCTGTGATAGTTTGGGATGCAGCAGCTACTCAGGTCAGTGTTGAGAGAGTTTTCTTAGGTTTGAAATTCATCCTGCAAGACAACAGGGGTGGCTTCAATGAAAAAGATATTACAGGACATTCTTTTAATTAGGTGTCATTGTGGTTTATTACAATGATGTTTTCTTAATGAACTGGATAACTGTGTATGAATTAAATCTATGTAATAAAATGTTTATTTTATGTAATGTTATGGCAATTCTTCAGCTTAGAACTGGGGTGAATATTAAAGTATTAAATATTTTATTGTGTTTTGCCTTTATGTATTGAGGTATTCGGTATGATAGCACACTTTGTATTTCTAGTATTTCGTGAATAAATTCTTATCAATTTTACGTGACTATTAAGTGTTGGTAGTGAAATAATGCCTATATCAAAATTAAGTTTCTTTTCAGTGTCTCTTATAGTATTAAGTTGAGAATATCCTACTAAAAAAGTATTTTGAATCTTCAATTTAATATTCATACAGTATGTTAAGAGCGTTTTATCACAGTACTATTCTTATACTGACTCAGTGTTGTAGTGAATTCTAGAATATTTTTAAAAATAGAATTAAAAATAATATATTTTATTTGTATCATTTCTCTTTGTATTGAAATGTTTTGAGACAATGATTAAAATTGAACATCATTGTTGCTTTAGATTTAATTATTAATGAATGCATAGAAAGAAATAGTTTAATATTGCTACTTTTCAAAACTAATTACAAAATCTCGGGATAAACAAAATTTGAATTAACATAAAAATGCACTATTATTTGCAATATCAGGAACGAATCGGGTGGTCATATTTCTTCAGATGAAATTGCTCCAGGTTATCCGTTTGCAAAACAGAAAACTGAGCTCGGAAGTAAAAAACAGGTTTCAACCAGTTCAGTCATGGATGACGAAGCAAAACTGGAACAGAACCGAATATTTAAAATATTGGCGACCCGAAGCCCACTCTTCAGACAAAGATTAGACTGGAGTGTAAAACATAAAATAATACTCGTGAAGAGTGTGCTTCTTAGTTCAAGCAGATGCACGAGACCAAATGGGCAGCTCCTGTCCGGAGGCAGGATGAGAAGGCAGGAAGGGACAGGAGCTGGTCAAATGGACACAAGAAACCCACAGTGGCATGGGGAGTGTGCTGTCACATTATAGGGATTGCAACTAGTGTCACATAATAATGTGTGTATACATTTTTGTATGAGAAATTAATTTGAGCTGTAAACTTTCACCTAAAGCACAATAAAAAATTAATGATAATAATTTATGATAAGTAGCCTAAAAGATGTCACCTAAAGATCCTTGCTTACTAGTATTCATGCATTTATGCTGTAGTCCCCTATCATACTGACAAGTGCTAGCCTGTGTAACCAATAGGATGTTGAGGAAGTGATGGTATGTAACTTTCCAGGCTAGATCATAAAGATATTATAACGTCTGCTTTGCTTTTTGGATCACTCACTCTGGAGGAAACCAGCTGCTTAGTCATGAGAACATTCAAGCAGCCCTATGGAGAAAACATGTGCAGAAGAATTGAGGCCTCCAGCCAGTCACCAGCACCCACTTGCCAGCCATGTGAATGAGCCGTCTTGGAAGAAGATCCTCCAGCCCCAACTGAGCCTTCAGATGACTGCAAACACGTGAGAGAACCCAAGTGAAAACAGCCCAGCTAATGCACTCCCAAGTTTCTGACCCACAGAAACTGTGAGATAATAAATGTTTATTGTTATTTTAAGCCACTAAGTAATTTGTTATGCAACAATAAATAACAAGTACCAAAAAAAAGTTAGCAAACTTGAACGAGAACTGGAACAGAAAAAATTACGGTCGGAAGCCTGGTGTTAAAGCTACCCACATGTAATATTTCTGTTATAGCAGCAATAGGTAACTAAAATTCAAACAAAGGAGTAAGGAATGACAAGGGAAAACGGAAAACTCCTCCTCCCATCTGGGCTTCTGAGGATGCCAAGAGGGTAGTGGTCAGGGGTGCACCCACTGAACCCCGAAGAAGGTATCATCAGCGTTGCGGGAGGCCTGCAGCGGCACAGTGAGGTTGGTGCAGAGTGTGTCGCCCTGGGCCAGGGGTGTCAGGCGCTGGGAGGCAACAGTGCAGCCGAGGTAGAAGTTGAGACGCAGCAGGCTGACACGGCGGGTGGCGGGGGCACAGATGCCCACAGCCAGGGTGGCCTCTCGGGGTGTGGTGGTCCGCGTGGATGAGCAGTTGGCCAGTGTCACCTGGATGTGTAGCTTGTAGATGCCATCGCGTTGGACACACAGCTGCCCATTGTCCAGCATGGGTCCATGCAGGAAGGAGCGGCCCAGTGCTGGGCCTGCCTGCCAGTGCAGCCGAGGGTCCTGCTGCAGGCCTGGGGGCGGAGAGGTGGGGATGGAAGGATGGAGGTTTAGGAAAACTGAGGGACAAGCAGGCATAGGAACAGTGGGGTAGAGGTATAGGGCATCAGAGAGATAAAGGGACAGAGGGTCAGAGATCCAAAGGGTGAGAGCGAAAGTAACAGTAAGAGAGACAGAGAAAGAGATGGCAACTGGAAGTCATAGAGACAGAGGGATAGAGGGTCAAAGAGTCAAAGGTTCAGAGACAAGAGAAACGGATGTTACAGATACAGAGGGACAGGTGAGACATCCAAAAGGTTAGAGAGACAAACGGAGAAAGAGAAATAGAAAGAGAAGGGTGGAAAGGAAGGGAGGAAAGAAAAAAAGAAGGAAAGAAGGAAGGAAGAGGAAGAAAGAGAGAGAGAGAAAGAAGAGAGAGGAAACGGGAGTAATAAGAGATAGTGGGATAGAGGGTCAGTGAGCCAGAAGCCAGAGAAGGGAGACAGGAAGTGGGGATCACAGGGACAGTGGAATAGAGGTATTGAGCGTCGGAGAGAGAGAGAGGATAGAAGGTAGAAATTCAAAATGTAAAAGAGAGAGGAAGTGGAAGTCATAGAGACAGAAGGGAAAGACCCAAAGGAGGAGGCAGGAGAGAGACTGAGGAACAGGAGTGCCTCCATGATAAAATGGAATGGACACAACTCCCAAACTTCCAGGGACTTGGACCTCTGGAAATGAGTGTGGAAGCAGAGGAAAAAGAGGGTTAGAGAGAGGCTGGGAAGGAAGGGAGTTCTTCCCACAGACAGCCCAATGTCCCTTCTCTCCTTCAGGGCTCTGCTCCAATGCCACTGTCTCAGGGAGCCTTCTCTGTGACTCTATTTTATTTTCTTTCTTTCTTTTTCTTTTTTTATTGTGCTTTAGGTGAAGGTTTACAGAGCAAATTAGTTTTTCATTAAACAATTAATATTTATATTGTTTTGTGACATTGGTTGCCAACCCTGTGACATGTCAGCACTCTCCCCTTCTTGACCTTGCTGTCCCCATTTCCATTCATCCAGCTTTCCTGTCCCCTCCTGCCTTCTCGTCCTTGCCCCTGGGCTGGTGTGCCCGTTTAGTCTCGTATACACGGTTGAGCTACTTGTATTATTGATTGTTTTATTGGCCTGTCTAATCATTGGCTGAAGGGGGAACCTCAGAATGACTTCAGTACTGAGTTTAAAGGATGTCTGAGGGCCATACTCTTGGGGTTTCTCCAGTCTCTACCAGACCAGTAAGCCTGGTCTTTTTTTTTTTTTTTTGTGAGTTTGAATTTTGTTCTACATTTTTCTGCAGCTCTGTCCATGTCCCTCTATTGCGATCCCTGTCAAAACAGTTGGTGGTGGTAGCCGGGCACCATCTAGTTGTGCTGGACTCAGTAATGAATGTTTCCATTTTAAATCGTAGCCTCCGACCCTGCTATGCCTGATCCTTCTCCCTTGCTTTGTCTTCTCCAAAACATATTGTGTGCATGATTTACTATACTTGAGGTGCTACGCATTTCACTCAGTCATTTTGATTCCGACACATAGTGACCCCATGTGACAGAGCAGAACTGCCCCACAGGGTTTCCTAGGCTGTAATCTTTCCAGAAGCAGATCAACAGGTCTTTCTTCCACAGAGCCACCCGTGTGTTCAAACCACCAACCTTTTGGTTACCAGCCGAGCACTTAACTGTTGTGCCACCAGGGCTCCATATAGCGATCACTATTACTAGGGTAGCAGTTTTAGTTATTTTTGGCTCTTCTAAGGAAGAAGTTAAAATGTGAGGAAATTTCAGAAGTAAGATAGCATACAGCCAGGAACACACTGCCTCCCTTCTCTTCCTTCCTTCCTTTTATTCCCTTCTGTCTTTCCTTTTTTCATTCTTTCCTTCTTTCTTCCTTGCCTCCCTCCTCCCTCCATTTATTTCCTTTTTTTTCTTCCTTTTTTCTCTCTCCCCCTCCCTCCTTCCTTCCCTCCCTTTCTTTTTTCCTTCCTTTCCCTCCTTCCCTCATCTCCTCCCTCCCTCCCTCTTCCTCCCTCTCTCTCTCACACACAACCCTGCCTTGTGTTACCTGTGTGATTTAACTGGAGCTCAGCTATGTCCCACTGGAAGAAAAGACCAGAAAGAAAGACAGTTACGCAAGTGCTGGGGTTTTCAGTGCCCCCCCACCCAAGACAGGAAGTCTCTTCTCTCTGCCCACCCTCATCCCCACCCCTCATCCCATAGGGCTTGTGTGTGACTTTTTAAAAGATAAAGATCTCAATGAGGAAGTAGGGTTGAAGCAGCAGGGAGCATGAAGATGATAGTAAGACCTTCAAAGGAACTTCCTAGTTTCCTGGATCTACGGGGGGGGGGGGGG